GCAATTTTTCGTATGCATATCATTTACGTCTTACGTATATAATTTAATGAATCTCTCGAGTACAACCGATTCTTCTATATATATATATATAATTTTTAGAAACCAAAATCTGCCAATATTTTCTTTATAGTTTTTAGTTCAAATACGTTTTGTTTGAGTAAAGTGTAAAAGTTTGTGCGATAATTAGCAAAATGTTGATGACAAATAAATGTGTGCATTTGGCTCAAAGAAATTTCGCGACGCAGATTCCACTTTGTGAAGGCTGATTCGTTTTTATTAGCAGCTAATTGTTATAAGATGGTAATGTAAAAAAGTTCTCGATTTATCTAGAGATAAATGCCCAAAGATTTCTCGACGACGGCATGCGGCTGGCGCAAGTTCTCATTGTACTCGGGCAGGTTCAAGAAGTCTTCAAATGAGATTTCATCACAGCGTCCAGTGATCACATCGTCCATCATGTTGCTGCAAGAGTGAAATATACATTATATCGTAATCCAATTACTACTCTATATTATTTATTGGTGCTCACCTGGACTGCAAGAAAGGCAATCGGCCTATTTGGCGTGCGGCAAAGCGTTCCATGCCCATTCTTAGGGGTGCGCCCAGACCCTCGCGATTTCGCAGCATTTGCATGTTTAAGTTATACTTGTGATCATCATAGTTTAATTCCGAGTCGCGCAAACGATGGACGTGCGCCAGTTGGCTCAAACAGTTCTGGTCCGTGGGCAGCCTCGCCTTGCCCGTGGCGTTCAGGACCAGCACGTCTGATGGGCGAACTTTGAGCGATTGCTGATTCTAATTAAGCGAAGTGCACATAATTTAATATACATTGCCGGCAATTTCTAGCTGTCTACTTACCATTTTATATAGAAATTTTTGAAATTCCGGGAGTTTTGATATTAAAACACTTTACAATGACAAAACACAATTCGGTATGACTTGAAGTTAGCTGCGCGTGATTTTTTAGTTAATTTCAAAAACGCGTTTTTATGCTAGGTGGCAACTAGAAGCGATAACGATAAATTTTGCTATCGATACGAAATAAATACGTTTGGAGTGCATTAGCAAGCAGCTTTTGTCTACAGACCGAACGTACGAATTTTCAGTTATTTTTTTTAAATATTTGCTTAATTTCAAAATTGACTGAAGACTTTGCCCGCCTACTTTGATTGTTTTATTCAGAATATGGAAATTTTGTGATGCGGTCTTTGTCAGGCATGTACAGATTGTGTTGATGATTAATTTTTCCCTTGATCAAATGCCTGAATCTCGTGCTCGACTCTGGCGCACTCTAATCAATTCAATAAACAAATCACAATATTTTTGTGTTGTTTTTTTGACGTCTTGTGCTTTTTGTGAAATCGCCCACACCTTTTAGCGGCTTTTATGATCCACTGCTCCACAGAGCACAAAAAATTCAGTTTCAGTTTTTTTCTTGTTTTTGTTGTTCGATTTTTTTGTCTGTGACAAAAAAACAGAAAAAAAAATAACAAAATATAGACAGAGTTTAATTAGTGCATGCTTACTAATAAAAACTTGTTGCTTAATTTCCATAAACACAAAAACTCACACACCGAATTGTGTTAATCAAACTCCCGCATAAAAGCCGCACACTGTCCGCCGCCTCACCTCCGATCTGAACTTGAGGCAAACAGCAAACAGCCAACCGGATAAAGATGGGATGGGATGGGATGGGATGAGGCCACAGCCACAGCCGCGTGAACCAACAAATATGTACCTAGGCATAAATTAATTATCTCGATCATGCTTGAGATAAGACCTGGCCATAAGACCGGCAGCTCTCTGTTGTTGTTTCGAGCTGCATTCGGGCAGCGAGATTCCGCCGTAAATATTTTGCATTCAGTTCAAAACACAAGCCACAAGTTTAGTTCACGCTTGAGAAACTGATTAGAGTATGTATCATGTGATTGCGGTGTGGGTGCTTTAATTAAGTATAATTAGGAATATAATTAAGAATGTGCAAATAAACCTAAATACATGGCTATTTTTGTTAGTCTCCACTCGAGTACAAACTTTGGCCCTACAAATTGTAAAGTTATAGCAAAGTTATAGCAAAGTTATAGGGTATATATTTATAGGGTATTCGAGCTATTGTTTATGGCTAGGCTTAGCTGAATGGCAACAGAAATCATGCTAGGGTTCTCAAGTACCGCAACTGGCATACTGGAAAAACAAGCTCGGAGTGGCTCTCAACGGTTGATTTATAATGCAGCAGATTAACAAAATCGGAAATGTCCAGACCATGCCGAACCGACCGTGAGTATATACAACCTGTCTAGATTTGATACGAATCGAATCGCCAAGTCGATTGCTAAAAACGTTTTTTGTTTTTTTTTTTGCCCCTTTTTGATATTTACAGTCCAAAATATTTTGACTTTTATGTGCGTAATGCAAAAATGAAAGGAAAAAAAAATAAATAACGAACCGTAAGTAACCAAACAGCCCGAGTGCCGATAAAAGGAAGTGTGTGCTGCATTTTCACACCTACATGCTAAAAAAAATAAGAAGAAGGGGAGAGAAAAAAAAAACGGTATCCAGGCAAACGAACGGATGCAGCGCGATTGCATTGCGGCCGCGCAGGCGCTCGAGCAGCGGGACGAGGTCATGTTTGCATTGGTTCCAGCCGATTTCGAGATTCGAGTTAAATTGGAGAATTCACATTCGGGTTAAACTCTCAACTCTTTTGGCCTTTGGTCAGCCGTCCGTGTCGAATACGAATTCGGCAATTGTTTGACTTTTGCCGACTTTTGTGTTAGCTACCGCATTACACATGCATTTCGGGTAATACGCAGTTGCACATTTCCAATTACTGGGAATTCACAGCTTATGCATGCGCATACGCCATTTTGTGAGAACTTTGACATCCATTCAATTGCATCAAAAAAAAAAAAATAAAAAAAAAAGCGGGCAAATGCCAAGTGATTTATAACCTCACTTCTTGTGAATAGCATAAGAAGAAATGCAGTTGGCAGCTCCGTCCGTCCGGCTGTCCGTCTGCCATAAAATGTACGAATGATCTTTTTAAGATCGCTCACGAATGGAAAAAAGTTTTATGATATGATGGCGGCTGGCAACTGGCAACTGGCGGCTGGTGTTGCTGCTGTCTTAATTGGCACCCATAGGACCGGCAGAATCGACCCCTAGAGATACAGCTACACACTCTGGCATTATCCAATCAACGTAACTTCTGCTTACAGCTGCGCCATTGTCGTCGTCGTCGTCGTCTTTCAGGCCCATAAAATTTTATGGCAGACCGAAAAGTAACGTTCGCTCGAAATTCAAAGTTTTTCGTTCACTTCGAATTCTCCAGTCGATCTGTTTTCGGTATGTCTCTATTAGCGATGACAATGCGATGAGCCCAGCATCCAATGCGCTGCGCTGCGCTGCAAAAGATTATAAATTTTATGCCATATATCGGCATATATATTTGACTTTTATGCATTTATTGCTGTGAAAAAATGTTAATTCTTTCGTTATACTTTTATGTATTTGACTTTTACATTTTTGTCTCCGCGCCCTTCGACGCAACACATAGTTGACTCTTTTGATGGTGTTGCCTTCGCATTGACTGGAGACTATGTATTAATTGGCTGGCAGCCATCTCAATAAATCGGAAAGTGAGCGTCGTAAATCAATCGAAGCGGTAAAAGCCAGATATTCGACTCACAGTCTCCAAGTCGAACTTGCATGCATGCACGTATATGTACGTATACATACAAAGCAAAGCTAAGCTATTACTCTCCAAATGTTGACTCTACAATTGCTAATATGTTAGCCGCTTTTGTAAGTGTGTGTGTGTGTGTGTATAGAGTACTCATATCATTCGAATTCAATTACACGCACACATTACAAGCCAACCGAGACGGCGCATATTCGCAATTAGTGCAACAGAGCAAGCAATAGTGCTGAGCGTGTCAATGGCGTTTGAGCGAAGAAGGCGTAGGCAAAGTGAAATCAAATTGACAGCTCTGCTTCCTCTTCTTTCCAGTAGGTGGAGCAAATCAGCTGCTGCTATTGTGAATGGTTCACACCGAAACTAACCCCCAAATGTAAGGACAATCATTTTGTTTTTGTTGTTTTTTTTTTTAAATTTTATTTTTGTTTAATTCAAATAGCACATGGATTTTACATAAATTAATTAACTAAACATTAAATTACAAGCACGTGTGCCACAAATGTTGATATGCTTTAATTACTTATGTTATGTATTTAATTTGTTGTGCACGAAATATATATGTATGTATGTATGTGTGTGCTTTTTGTGCAGCTGCTTTTGTTTTTATTAACATTAAATTCAATTTAGTCTAAAAACTAACTAATTGTTATTACCGCATTCAAGTAATAAACGTTAAAACTTGTTGTGTTACATATTTACATGTGTGTGTGTGTGTGTGTTTGTGTGTAATCAAATTGCACCAAAATATTTAAAACTTTTCTCAATATTAACTAAATTATATTATATAGTTTGTGTGTGTTTGTTTAAAAGCAATAAGACAAGCAAGACGGCTATACAAATTGTTTAAATGTAAATTAAATGTTTGTTTCCGATTGATTTGTTTCTTCTGCTTGGGCAACTTATGCACTAGTTTATATATATATATATTTGTGTATATATAATGTGTATTTGTGTGTCGATCCTAACTAAATCAAATCTTGCGCTTACATTTTAAACATTAACTAGAACAAAAAACAAAAAACATATTACATACAATTGGGCCATGTGTATATGTGTATGTGCATGTGTGCATGTGTGCATGTATGTGTACATAAATTTTACATAGTTCGTTTCAATCGTTTCTCTCGGGCCCTTGTGGGCGTGGCCAGCCGGAGGCGCGAGCATCAGACGCCGCAGAATATACAATCACAAAAATTAACAACGTGCAATATTCAAAGGCGTCGCCGCATCCGCATCCGGCTGCACAAACAGTCTAACTGTTTTACCCCCTCCTCCCCCTCTCCCACACACACACACCCCCCTCGCCCGCCCGCCCGACAATACAAAGCCAAAGCCTAAGCCAAATCCACGGCCAGATCACGTGGACACGTTGCAAAGCCGTAGCTGCTCCCCCCGCTGCCGCCGCCGCTCCCCCCGCTCCCCCCGCTGCTCCCGCTGTGGTTGCCATAGCTGTTTGGGTCGCCCCCGCCCCCGCCTCCAGCATAGTCATGTCACATTGAGAGCGTGCCAACGCCCACGGCGGACATCTGGGCGCTGTGCTGCAGCTGATGGGAATGGGCGGACGCCGCGGCCAGCGCATGACTGTGGGCGGCCAGATGGGAATGGGAATGGAGACGCATTGCGGATATGTTCATGGCCGCCATTGGGTTCATGGAGTGCAGCGTGTGCTGCAGATGCAGGCCCGGCTCCAGCTTCGTCTTGGCATCCAGCAGCTGGCTGTAGTCCGTGTGCTGGACGCCGCCCATCACATTCGGATCGCTGCCCTTTTTGTTCTGTTTGCGCTCCTTGGCGCGTCGATTCTGGAACCAGATCTTCACCTGGCGCTCCGACAGCGACAGCGACTGCGCCAGCTCGCTCTTCCGCCGTATGGTTATATAACGGGACGTGCAATACTCCTTCTCCAGCTCCAGGCGCTGAAAGTCCGTGTAGACAACGCGATATTTGTCCTTGGTGCGCGTTTTGCCTGCGAATGGAACAAACGTAAATGAAGCTTTGATTAGTTAAATTATTTAAATAACTTGGCTTGAGTTTTAATAATTATTCATAGTTAATAATATTCTATTATTATAGTAGAATATAATTTCAGCTCATGCGCAAAACGAAGCCAAGTTCAGGAATTAAAACTACATCAAATGAAGATGAAGGAATCCAAAAAAAAACGTGTGTAAATTATTGTAGAAAACTTAGATAAGATCTTGGAACAGAAAGGAACATGTCTCTAGGAGCTGCCCATAATTAAATACCCTAAAAAAAGGCAAAGTTGCTCTTATAAAAAAAAAATTAAATTAATCCTTATCATATCTTTTCTAGCATAGTATAAAGTATATCGTATATATATAGTACATATATATAGTATATAGTATACACATATGGTATAGAGTATATATATAGTATATATAGTATATATATATAGTATATCGTATATATATATAGTATATATATAAGAATATAATATACCCTAACAGACAAAAGACTAAGTTACTTTCACAAAACAAACTAAATTTTTACCATATTCTTTCTATGGTATAAAGAGTATACATATATACATATAGTATTCAGTTAATGACAAACTTGGGAAGATTTCTATTGGTAAAGTCCGTTAATATAATTTTACAGCAATTTTTTGTTCGATTTACAAAAATGTTTGAATAACAATTGACATGACATGCAATATATTATTTAAATAAATGCCAACAAAGATTTTAGTGTAAAACAAAAAGAAAAAACAAATTTGTTGCATTTTTTTGCTGGTAATACATAATAATATTTAACAATATATATAACAATATTTAATAATATTATGAATAATATATAATAATATATAAAAAATATATAAAATTACTTTTAATAATATATTAAAAATGTTATTAATAATATGTAACAAAATATATAATAACATATTTAATCATATTATTAATAATGTATAATAATATTATTAATAATTATGGTTCATGCTCCAAGCAATTGTTGCATTTAGTTGAACATTTCGAATTGTTAATAATTAATGAAAATTGTTTAACCGAGCTCGTTTGTCGTCAGAGCCACGTGAGTGACTGACGGGGCAAACAGTTCACCCATCATCATCATCATCATCACGATCATCTTCATCATCATCGTGATCGTCATCATGCTTGTCAGGCAAGCCGACAATATTTGAATTAAGATAGGCCATAAAATGAGCAAACCGCGTTGGCCATGTCACGATCAAAACTTTGTCAACTTTTCGCTGCGGTAAACATCAAAATTGTTCCAACCACGCCCCCGCCCCCATATGTGGGCGTCTAATTGTGGGTGGGGGAGGGGGGCGGCGCCGGCAAAGACACCTTGTGGAAAACGACCTGGTCCCTGATCTTTCTCTCTCTCTCTCTCTCTCTCTCTCTCTCTCTCTCTCTCTCTCTCTCTCTCTCTCTCTCTCTCTCTCTCTCTCCTTCTCTCTCTCGCTCGGCACTTTGTGGCGCTCGCTGCGCAATTAGTCAATCAAAATTCAAATAAATGACAAACAGCCAAAGACGAGGCATGAAAAAGGCCACGGGATCATGTCATGCCACAGTTGCCTACGTCTGCCTACGTGATAAACACACACGCACACACACACGCACACACACACACGCACACACACACACACAAGGCACACAACAACACAACACACACCCTGCCTAACTCTCTCACACAACAAAACGCAATGCAAACATTTTTATTTTCTACTTTTTTTTTTTTTTGGTTGGGATTTTGCTCTAATTTTTTGTACTTTATATTTTTTCTATGCGCTGTGGCTCCGTGGCCACAATTAAAATCGAGCAAACAAGCGAGCAAACATACAAATATTTTCACAGATGATAAGTTCAGGCGACATTTGCCAGCAGATAGGCCCGACAGAGTCGGAGCCGGGCCGAGTCGGACCCGTACACGGCCCGGGGCCGGGGCCGGGCAAGTAGAGCATGCAGGCGGGAATCACGCTCAGCGCCCGGCAACGAAATAGGTGTTAAAGACCTTAAAAAATGCGCTGCAATGATATACGATATACGGGCTATTACTCTATTCGAAGAGAGAAGAGAACAGAGAAGTGAAGGCTGTGATATTTGGTGAATATGATGAAAACAGAAAAGGGTTTCAGGTGGGAATCTTCAGGAATCTAAGCCCAAACGTAGCTTCTTTTTATTTATTACACTCGGCAAATCTTGGGTAATTTATAACTGCAAACCAAAAAATCTTATTGTCGATGTTTCGCCTCGACAGTTCGAACCAGCTTGCTGCCTTTACGTTCGGCTTAGTGAAACTCTCTTGCAATTCTTAGCACCGATCATCATACATTTTCTCAATTTTCTAAATTAAAATAATGTAATGTAAATATCTGTATTCAATCTATGTTCAATCTATGTTCAATCTATATTCAATCTATGTTCAATCTATATTCAATCTATGTTCAATCAATATTCAATCTATATTCAATCTATATTCAATTAATGTTCAATCTATTTAATCTATGTTCAATCAATATTCAATCTATGTTCAATCTATATTCAATCTATGTTCAATCTATGTTAAATCTATATTCAATCTATGTTCAATCTATATTCAATCTATATTCAATCTATGTTAAATCTATGTTAAATCTATGTTAAATTTATCTTCAATCTGTATTCAATCTACATTCAATCTATATTCTAGCTATGTTCAATCTATATTCGTCTATATTTTCTGCTCGAAGATTCGAACCAGATTCCTTCCTGTACGTTCCGCTCGTAAAGCTCTCTGTCAAATTCTTAAATTTAATTTATTAAATTGCAATCAAAAAGACTTCCATCAATTAACAATTGCCCCCTGCACTGAAAATAATGTAAGCCATAAATATTTACATACGCAAAATGCGGGCTAAATTTGAAGACTAGCCAAAATTTGAACTGCAACAAATATGGTTAGAGTTAAGCGCAAAGATTGGGACCAAAGTTATGTGTACTTTGGAGACAATCCAAAATTGTTCAAAAAATGTCCAGATTGATTAGTTTTTTCTAGGTACAATTTAAGGCTGGTTGCCGGTTCGAAGCGATAGTAAGAAATCAAATAGAGCTGAATTATAGTATTATTTAAAGTTAATTTTAATAATAATAAAAAAATTAAATTAATGGGAATTCTGAACTCGAACCGGTTCGTTTCCCAGGTCGATTTGCAGAGAATGATTACAAGAGCATAGACAAAGTTTTGGGTCAAAAAAAAAGGAAAACGTAAAGAATAGAAACTGAAAACTTTGGCTTTGCGCCTTATCTTGTCGCTCTCGCACTTGTGTTTATTTTTTACACTTTTGTTTAGACATGAATTTATAACATTCGCCGTCGTCTTCGTCGTCATCAACAAGATTCTCATCGTCGCCAGTTTGTTTAGTCAAATGTGGCAATCGTCATATAAAAGTTAAAGCCTCATTCCAGCTAAGTCCACACAATTCTTAATCTATCTACAGCTTTTTTGTCGTCTCTGTGCGCCCAGCCAATAATAAATCTCACATTTTTTAGTCTCTTTGCCATTTTAGTTGCGCTTTGATCGTCTTTAGACTTATATATATACTACTATTATTTTTTTTGGCCCGCGCGTGTTCTTGGCCAACTGGCTGGGCTGATAAACGGGGCGTTTAATGTGGCTAATGCTGATAACCCGGCCGCAACTGTTTAGACAGACTTGGAAGGAAGTGCACAAATATTTGTCACCATTAAAAGGCAGAAAAAAAGCCAAAGCCCAAAGCCCAAAGAAATTCAAATGTATATCAGGCAAATCGCATCGCAGCCACAATCATCAACTTGGATTTCCTTGTGTAAATTGAACTTAACAAAAAAAAAAAACTTGTATTTATTTATTAACTTTTTTTTTTGTCTTCTTGTTAACTGTACAATTTCGCAATAATTTGTAAGTCTTTTATATAATGGGAATTTAGATTTGGAAAACGATATTTCTTTCTTAAGTTATTTGAGAGGGAGTGGGATAGGATTAGGTTTATCCAAAAAGTCGACTTCTTTATAAAGTTATTTGAGAGGGTGATGGATATGAATTTGAGTTAGAAAATATTAACTCTCATTAAGAAGCTTCATTCATTCTTCCTAAGAAACAAGAGAGGAAGTGGAATATATATTTTTCTATAATTTTCAAACTAATCTGTTCTTTTAAGGATATATTTAAGAATATTTTTTTCTTTTTCTTTTGAGAGAGGTTATTATAATATTTTTCACGAAATGTGTAACGCTTCGAAGGAAACATCTTCGAGCCTATTAAGTTTATATATAGCCGAGTTGTTATAGCCATGTCCGTCTGTCCGTCTGTCTGTCTGTCTGTCTGTTTGTTTCTAAGCGCACTAGTTTTAAAACTGAAGTCAGTTATATATCAGAACTGGCCGGATCGGACCACTATATCATAAAACTGCCAAGTCTGTATATAATCTAAAATTAAGCTCGCATCTCTCGAAGGCAGCTAACTAAATAGTCTATATATATATTTTGGGAGATTTTTGACTTTTTGTACTAGATTCCATACCAAAAAAATTCGTAACATTTTGAGTCCGCATCGAGATAAAAACTCTTGAATTAAGTGTCATTTTCATATAAGCTCTAAAAGTTCTTAAAATAAGTTTACAATTTCTTTATAGAGAAATAAATAAAGATTTAGCTGCTAAGCAATTCTCATAATTCTAACTTGGCAACATTATATAGATATCCCCATTAAAAGCCATTTAAACTGAAAGAGTTACGGTTTGAGCCCGTATAAAATCTTAGCCCAATTTAATCTATGCACAATATTATCTGTTGGCACTTTCGGTACAAATTTCTCACACCTAGAAAACCTAGGTGGGTAAACAACGAGCGCAGCTCTCAACTGCTTTGGACCCGGCCAAAGCGAATCTTGGCCATGTTGTTGTTGTTGTTGTTGTTGTTCCGACTGCGACTGCGACATTGTGAGGCTGCGGCTGACCTTGACGGCCATAAGCCAATAAATTGTGTGTTTGCCATATATAAAACTATAAAGTAACTAAACCGTAAACTGAGTGTTTTATTAACAACACACAGAATAAATACGCACAGTTTCAGTCCAATCTAAGTCGCAGTCGCAGTCGCAGTCTGGACAAATAGAACAGACAGATCTTCAGATCTTCAGAATGGGTTTTGTTCTGCTTTTGATAAGATATACACGCTCATAATTCAATAGAACCCAAAGCAAAAAATAAATAAAAGATATATATAAAAAAAAAACCAAGTCATTTTTGCAAATAGAGCACAATTTCGTAGCTGGGCTTAAATTGAGCACATATTCTTTTAGATAAACAAACAAAAATTAAAAACAAAAGCGAAAAACAAGACAAATACATTTTATTTGTAATTAAATAAAATGCTGCATATTCATGCCTTGTGGCAGCACAGAAAAGAAATAACAAAAAAATAACAAAAAGGTGTGACATTTTTTTATGGCTTTGTCACGGGCACAGAGAGAGGGGAGAGGGGGGAAGGGGGGGGTGTAATTTATATAAATGTACATACGTAACCCAAAAAGAAAAACTTGTACTTAATGTGGAAAATGATGTCTAATTGTGTGTGTGGGGCAAGTGGGGCATGCCACCTAGAGCTTACATATGGAACTATATCTATCTATATATAAATGTATATATGTGTGTGTATATTTGATGGATTAGTTGACATTGCCTATCGATTGCCGATTGTTGATTGCCTGTAGCCGGGCGGCATAGTTCAAATGCACGCACTCCCCTAATCCCAGTTGAGGTCTGTATCAACAACAAGAACCAAGAACTCCGCTTCGGAGGAGTTGCAACAGTTGCAGTTGCAGTTGCATTTGCAGTCGGAGCCTACGATAAGCCTTAATGGTTGTCGGGCGTAATGCCCATGTCTATATATGTATATATATGTTGCAACTGGCGGCTCGATCTGGATCCGGGCTGTGTGGAGCGCGGATCGCGCTTTCATTCACACTTGCGACACTGCGCAAAAACTAGATAACTTTCCGACAGATCTATAAAGTTATATGTGTAGCTATATCTATCTATTCTCTGTAAGAATCCTCAGATATGTCATACTACTGTTTCTGTTTTAGGTTCCATCCTTAAACTAGTTAAGACTGTCTACTTTTGATTTGCTAAAGATTCTCTTGAGTGATATCTAAAAACTAAAGATTCTTTTGCAAGTTAAAATGTGAAGAATGTTCTTTATAATATGATATGCAATAGGTATATATAGTTAATCTAGTCATATATAGAGATTTCAATGATATCTAAAAACAAAATCCAAAAGATTTTAAAAAAGTTTCAATTTAAACAATGTTTTATATAATACGTTATTTATGATATGTTCTACTCTTATACAAAGATTTCAATATCTAAAAAGAAGTTCAAAAAGATATTTAAAAAAGTTTAAATTTGAACAAATTTATCTACTCTTTTTAAATTTTTATTTAGCTGTCTCAAGGGATGGGGCTTAGTTTATTGAAAACATAAATGAAAAACAATTTTTGCTTGTTTTTCAGCCTACCTTCAAAGTCATAAAAGAAAAACTTCTCGAAATGAATCTTAATAAATCCTTTAACCAAAGGATATATATTTCGAAACCTTGCACTTCACTTGTCATAAATTTCCGTTTGCTTTTTGTCATTTGTGAATCATTTTTGCTATTCATAAAATTCGACTTTGAACCACATTGTGTGGACTGTTTGACAAGCACTTGCTCCTGTTGCCCCTGACCTTATCAATAATGTGTCTCAGTGTAATAATTCACAACTGGTGCGCGCAATGACAAACAATCGAATAGTTTATGAGCGCAACAAATGCGTTTGCGTGTGTGTGTCTGTGTGTGTGTGTGTTTGTATCTCTGGTTGCCGACAAAGGAAAAGAGTGCAAACAATACAAATGCCAATAGCTGGTAGGCTTTAAGATTTTATAGCGCATGCGATTATGTAATATAAGGAGGGGGAGAGGGTTGTGGGGGGGTATTGGAATATGGAGCAAAGTTAAGCCGTAAATGATTGTCAAGAGACAATTGACAATTTGGCCCATAAATTATATTAATATACGAGCAGGTAGCGCCGATTTTTCGAACAGCTGTTGCCAAAACAGATACCAAAAGGCGGAGAGCCGGACAGACATACGCAAAGATTGCGGCAATTATGTGCACAGTTCCCAGCGGACCAATCACAGCGACCAAGGACACTGACAGTTACTGTTACAATATATTTAACTGTTAACCGTTGCGGTTAGCTACGGGCCAGTTGGTGGTTGCGCATTAATGCGGCCTGCTGCATGCTGTGCGTTAATTTGTCACTTGCGGTACATCTTTATCTGTGTGTGTGCGTGTGTTTGCGGGTGGGTGTGCTGCGGGGGGTGTGGGCATTGCCCAAGATGATGACAAAATAAGGACGCAAACTAAATGAAGTGCTCAGCATGTGAACACAAATCTATTGGGAGACATTTATTACCTGCTCTCGCTCTCGCTCTCTCTTTCTCTCGCTCGCTCTCTGCTCTATTTAAATTTGGAAATTAAAGCTTTAGTCTGGGTCAAAAGTTTCGGGCAGCCCTCTCAGCTGCGCTCTCCCCACCCCCCCGCTCTGACGCTCAGCAGCAATTTCAGTTATTGCACTCCTGGGACTGAGGCACTCAACACTCGGCAGCAGAGTCCACCACTTGACTTTTCAACACTCAACAATTTGTTTCTGAGCTCAACTTAAAGTTGTGCAAAAATTTGGGGAGTGGGTGGAAGAGAGAGAGATAAAGGGAGAGACTGTGTGTGTGTGTGAGTGTGCCTGTGGTGAGCATCATAAATGTATTTTCATGGCTGTGGCAAGGCAGAGACAACAATAACAACTAACGGGCAGCAGCTAAAGCTCACCACCCAAGCGACAATATAACAATAACATTTATTTGGCATTTTGCTGCTGTTTTAGATGCTGTTATATCGTAAATATTAGCTCAAATTACATCATAAAATCATTTGATTCGATTTGACGTTTATTTTATTTTTCCTTTTTTGCCCTTTTTTATTTTGCTTTGTTCTTGGCGTGGGCCTGGGAAATTTACCACCTTTGCGGCGGCTGCTTATTTGTAAAGGAGTGAGGTGGAATCAGCATACATATAAATCAATGCGAGACCGGATTTAATTGTAGTCTTTAAATGTCTACACATTTTTGGAGACTCGCGACATTAGTAAGGAGCTGTGGGAGTCGCGATTCCTTCGTTAAGTAGAGATGGAAACTGTTATCTTGTCTGGTAATAAAACTATTTATGAGTGCAACAAATTTAGAAATATATTTGATGATTTTTCGAATAATTAAACTAAAAATATAACTGGAAAATAATACGAACAAATAAGGGATAAATTATGACTGGAGCTAAGACAAATATTCGAAAATAGCTGTGGGTTTTCTATAATCTTTGTATATTAAGCAAGGACCGACGGCAAATAGCAAGGTTTTTTATATTATAACAATAACTTTCTATATTGCGCAGTTCGTTCTTCATCTAGAAAATTAGATCAGCTATATAATTTCCATCAGGGGTAATTAAGGTTCCACTAATGCTATGCACGCAGCTATAAATAACTCTTTCACACACACACATACACACACGCGAGGAAGGCAGAAATTCAAAATGGCGTACATCAAAGTGGAAACATGCGACATGGCAATGGCTTTATGAGTGTGTGCCATGCATATGCAAAAAGTATCAGACCAGACCCCCTCCCCCACGCCCCCTCCCAACCGCTGCATCGCAAAGCCAGGCCGCGCCCCGGCACGCAGCATTATAAATGCCAAAAGGAAAGGCAGGAAGAGTAAAAAATGTATATATATATATATGCACATATTATCAGATCGCGTGCAGCGGCACAAACGAATGCCGCACGTACGTGCCGCAGCCAAATTTGTGGCACGCCAAGGCGCTGGGCGGGGCAAGAGGCTGATGATGGCCATATAAATGTGGCCAACACGCCATTTTGGCAGCGGACCGCGTTTATGAGCGTCTCTCGAACGGCGAGAGGGGAGTGGCGCCGTGTGTGCTTAGAAAATGGCTGCCATCGGCCGCAATTTGACTGCCAAGTCGCAACTCGAAATTCGAACTCCAACTGGAATTCGAAGTCGCCATTAAAGTCATAAATTCAGGTTCGTGGAGCTAGGTTTGGGGCGGGTGGAAATAAAAAATTATTCTCAAATTTACGTTAATTATTTTGAATGCGGCTGCGAGGCATGCAATAAACATTTATAATCATATGCTGTATGTATACGATATACACGATACGATATACATATGCGATACGATATACGACTCGAGCTTATTTATGAGCGGCGCATGCAAGCCAAAAACAAAAGAAGAACAAGAAACAACAACAACAAGAAGAAGAGCGAGCAAGACAAAAAACATAAAAGTTAGGATTATTTTGGATTCGTACCACCTGCTTCCAGCAATTCGGTAAAGTCCTCTAAATTGGGCGTGCTGCACAGTTCTGCGAATGTTGCGTTTATTAGAGTTAAATATTAAAGTTAGCATATCGATTTATAAATTTATATATGTAGCCGAACAGGTATTCAAGATATTAATACTATAATAAATACTATAATTAAATAGAATTTTAAAAATAAGTTTGAGACCAAACGAACTAAACTTCAGAATTCGCCTTTACTTTCACTTTCACCAAGTGTGGCGAATTTCGCGAAAAGCATGAAACACGTCTCAACTGAATTTTCACAAAGATCTTTGAAAATGATTTTCAAACCGAACGGATGATAAATAAAAACTTTCATACAACATTTTTTCACAGCAGCGAGTGGAATTTCCGGAATCGCTGAAACATATATTCCCTCAGTTCTTCTTTAGGGCTTTGAAATTAAGTTATAGCCAAATCGGACAATTAAGACTTTGCCCAAATAAACTTTGAATTGCATTTTGCGACGGGAAAACTTGAATGCTAAGAAAAGAAAACTTTTTACAAATTAGAATCTTTTCATAACCGAAGCGTTCTAATTCTCAAGCGTAGACCATAGCAAACCTCCTCATTCTAATAAAACAATATAAAAGCATATGCCCGATTGAATCGATGTGCTTTAAGCATTTGCTAACCGAATTCTAATACCCTAAACAATAAGAATTAAAAACAATTGAGGAGCAGAAGCTCCTCCTCAACTATATATCTATTTGCCAACAGATAGCCGAGTGCTCTAGTTGTTGTTATAATAAGCCGGGCCAACACATTATTGATAATTTGCGCATCATAAAAATATTAAACAAAATAATATGCAATAAATTGTGTGTGTACTCCTTTGGCTTTGCTCTGGTGTGAACTATAAATTTTCTACTCGCTGCTCGGCTTCTCGCTCTTATCTGAGTAGGTTAAACGCTTTGGGTCAACGTGCAACAATATTTGGATAATCTTTGAGGCCAGGCATTAGGCAAACACCGGAGCGTGCCCGAGATGCAGCTGCAAGACCATTAAACTGAAAGCAAAAGTGAGATATGGCCAATTGTTTACCCCGAGCGAGTAGCGAGTGACGAGTGGAGAGCGGCGAGTGGCGAGCGGCGAGTGGGCAATCGAGCGAGTCGTAATTAATGAATGAAAATGAAATTAAACTGGCTGTCAAATCAGAACAAATCCAGGCTAATAATCATCATCATCATCGTAATTAAAGTGGCATAAAAATCAGAATATGGCTACCATATACAATATTCATTGTTCATTGCTCATTGTTATGGTTGGGCATATAATTTAGTGGCGATATATTATGGCGATATTCTCAGCTGCTGACGAGTGAAACATTTAATTTAGTTTTTTATAATTATTGCCACTTTATTGTATTGTTAAGCGATTAACGGCACAATGTATATATATATATATTAACTGGACTGCAAATCGCGGCCATAAAAACAGAAGCAAAAAACGACAGAAACGTGTACACAATAAGCTTGACACGTTTCTAAAAAGTCGCTCAATCAGCTAGTCAGTCCGTCAGTCAGTCTGTCAGTCAGTCAGTCCGTCAATCAGCGGAATTATGCCTGAAGATATGCATGAGGCACTGATATTTTATTTACACGCAAAATATTTGCGCGTACAACGCGTCGTATGAGCTATTTTGATTGACAATCGGATTTGAATGTCGCAGCTGAGGCTTAGCGAGTAGCGAAATTTTTTGTTTATGACAAAAGGAAATATTTTGACTGAACACAGTTTATATCTTTAGTTTGCAATTGTTTTCATTCCTTTTCTCTTTTCGAGTTTAGCTGATAAATGTGTAAACAATTTTGCGCTTTAAGATCCAAAACTTGGCGGAATACTATGGTATCTATTTTTCGTATAGCCGGAATATTTAAGAGTTCCACATTCAGAGATTTGCTAAGCTGAGCTGAGCGTGTGGGAAAGACTCTATATAAATCTATTTTCTCTGTTTCCGGGTATATATCTTTTCGGATATATATCTTCATAGCTGTTCGTATTTAGATCTAAAACTTGGAGGAATTCTATGATTATATTTTGGTATAGCTGGCATATTTATAAGCCTATGGAACTCATAGATTTGCGTATAGAAAAGACTCTTTATATAACTTTCCGGATATATATCTTTATACCTTTCCACATTTACCTTATTTGATATTTACATTTTTCAATGCGAAACTTTATCCCCTCTTAAGTTTCTCAATCATTATTGAAGTTCTTATTGGCTTCATTTTGATTTCCTCTCACAATTAACATAAAGTACATAAACAATTGTAGGCAGCCTCTGATAATCGCTTTCAGATCCAAAACTTATCGGAATACTATTATAATATAGTTTTGGTATAGCTGGAATATTTATAAGCCTATAGATTTGCGTATGGGAAAGACTATATATAAATCTTTACTCTAATTCCGAATAAATATCTTTCCTTATATATATCTTAATAATTCTTCACATTTACCTTATTTATATTTACATTTTCAGTGCCAAATTTAACCCCTCCTAAGTTTCTCAATCATTATTAAAATTCTTATTGTCTTCAATTGGATTTCCCCTGCCTTTCATGCGCTTCTCTTCCCCCTCAAACTTTTTCCAGTTAAAAATGCATAAAGCTGCCAAATCCGCGGCGCCTCAGCGAACAACTGCAGTACACACACAATAATGAATATATATATATATATATATATATATATATATGTATGGTATTTACGTACACGATTGTAACTCCATATTCAACAACTTATAGAGAACATATAGAGTACATGTGTATATATGGAAAGGGCTTTCCAGCTACTTAGCAGCGACAAATTTTCAGTTATTACCAATATCAATGCCAATACAAATAGCAGGCCGCGGCGCAATATTTGAACAACTAAGTCCCAAGCAAATGGAGCTGATGGATAAAAAAAAACACACACTAGTTGTGTGCGTGTGTGTGTGAGTGTGTGTGTGTGTGAGTGTGTGTGTGAGCTAATCCTGGCATGTCAATCATGGATAGCGTTTGTCAGACCCAATGTCGCTCTGCCTATGCGACATAGATGATCATAATGATGATGTTGTGTTGATGATGATGATGTTGAACTGGGCTAATCAAGCGGGGCGGACTTCATTTTGACACATGCCCCGGGCCACAAATGCTGACGGCAATGCGCACAAAAACCAAATATTGATAGCACTGATAACGATCGACATCGACTTCGACGGGCGACATCGACTCCGGCGGGCGACATCGACGGATACGGCCCGCTGACTGCAACAGGCCAGCTAGTGGCCATTTTTAATGGCTTATCATGCAACCAAATAACGCACGTCGCAGTCGCAGTTCGTATGGTATCTAGTATACTCGCCTATAGATGGGTCTACACTTAGAGAAAAGCGAAGCTCCAAATGCTAGACTGACTCTTCTTTATATATAAAGCACATTTGCTCAACTTAAATCTGTTTTATTGAGAAATTCTAAATTGACCGAGATGTCATAAAACTATGTCAGAAGAACTTGAATAAAGCACAAAATATTTATTTAAAGAAAAGTAGAGAACTTCTGAGATTAAGTTTTGTTTGTGAAGTCTGCTATTTGGAAGTCTGACCTAAAGAATCTTGAAATAAGAACTTTGTTCTTAGGTTCTTAATTGATATTGAGGAATTTTGATACATGAGAAAACAACTCTTAAAATAAGAAGTTTGTTCTTAGACTAAGAATTGATTTATGGGAATTTCGATACCCAAAAAAACATATCTTGAATTTGGTACTTTGTTCCCAGACTAAGAAAAGATAGTTAGGAATTTTGACTCTTGGCAAAAAGAGCTGCAAATAAGAATTTCGTTCTTGGGCTGAGAAAATTATATATCGGAATTTTAGTAATTAAGAAAACAACTCTTGAAATACGAAGTTTATTATTAAGAATTGATAGTTGAGAATTTTGGTACTTAGTTAAAAAACCTTGAAATAAGAACTTTGCTCTTAGGCTAAGAATTGATATTTGGGAATTTTGATACTTTACAAAAGAATCTAGAAACAAAAATGTCGAGAGCACAAGTCAAAATTATTATATTACATCATTATTTACATCGAATCCAAAACCCATTTAGTTCTACATTTTATTCAGCAAGGGTTTTTCAGTTTCTCTCAATACATATTCCTAAACAATTAAGTTTTCTGTCACCTTGTTTTTTTACAGTGTATCGTAATGTCAAATTGTAGTTTTTTGGGGCCAGACATTGGGGCAACACAAATCTATGCTCTGGCATGTATGTGGTCTATAGATAGCTCTACCTTTTCCCTTCACTTTTTTCCTCTCTTCTTCTTCTTCTGTTGTTTTTCTGATACATTTATAAATTTTGTGCATATTGACACATTAAATCTCAATGTGTCATGTGGCATTAAGTTTTATGCCCAGCCCAATGGAACATAAAGACATGTCCCCCTCCCCCCTCTATTGCCCGCTTCCCCTGGCAGCTTATCGTAGGGCCAAGTTAAAGTTTCTTCCTGGTCGCTCTCATAGTTCGGTTCGGTTCGGCTCGGTTTTTTTTTTAATAATGATTGCAAAGATTTGGCCATAAATGTCGCTATTTAGTTTTTATTGGAAGTAATACTAATTTTTATTGGTTTATTGGCTATATTGTTTTAATCAATACGCCAAACGGCGCTCTTATCGGCCCATAACCAGGCTATGGCCCGCAGATAACGCACACGTTTTGATACTTGGTATCACCCAAAAAAAAACTAAATATATATAAGTATTATGGGAGGAACATGGAAACCACGGACCAGGTAACATTGACAGGCGGTCGTTGATTTCACAAAGGTTTTCCATTCCCTCCCCCCTTGCCCGGCAAGTGCTAATCTAATCGCGAAAACCCCGCCTCAGCTATTGAAACAAAAGTACAAGCAACAAAAACAATAACAATTGCCGAAGAAGAACTTTATTGCCACACCCAATAAGCGATTGGACACGTTTCGAGAATCGATTGACACGTATATACCCCACTAAATACGCGTATATAGGGTAGAATTTTTTGCGCTCAAATGGCGCTAGAGTGCAAGATTTTTGTTTGTGCTTTGTTTATTATTTATACGAATAATAAATAAAATGCATAATCTTAATTTGTCATCTTGACCCGTTAAAGGATTACAATTAACAACGGCGGGCCCAATAAACGTTAATTGCATACCAACCGATTTTATGGGCTTAATGGATATCGTCGTCGATATCGAACGTCGTCAACTTCGAAACGGGCAGCGGTCATAAATTGTAAGCGCTTGCGCACGTGTTTTGGCATGTGTGTGTTTGCTTTCGGGTATGCAAGTGCGTAAGTATGTGTGTGTGTGTGTGCATTGGCATTTGCATCGCTGTAAATGTTAATGCTCTGTTGTTGTTGTTGCCCTGTTATGTAAATAAAAAAAGAAGTGCTCGAAGCACAACAAAAGCGCAGGCCACAAAAATGGCCGCCGAACAGCGACAAGCTAAATATAAAGCCTTGAGCTTTTGACATTTAATGTGAGAGCGTTGCACAAGGCGCCTGCAGTGCGAGAAGTGAGCAGAATAGAGGAATAACAGAGTCAAGGAAGCTTTTCAACGAAAACAAAATGACTCAATGCAACTTTTTAGGTACAATATAAAACATTCAACTTTCTATTTATTTCATACCTATTTGAAACACTTCTCGAGCCGCTAATTGCTGTGAGAGCAGTTCGCTGCCTTCGCATCTATTTGCATTTTTCATTAGAAACTGTGGAATTGATCGAACCCATTGAATATTTTTTTTCTTCTTTATTTTTTTTTATAGTTAAATTGATTTACGACACAAAATTAGTCAACAGAGTCGACAAGTTTTTCAGGCTGCGACCGCTGAGCCTGGGGCATAAATCAAGGCGGTGCGCCGTAAAATGAAGACAAACATTTGATTTTTATGAGCTAATGGCCCTTGGAGGCGCGCTCAATTCGAGCACAAACTGCTTACGGTTTGTTATAAAATTATGCTTCCTTCTCTTTCTTTCCCTTTGAAGCGCGAACAGCACGAGCTTTGTAGTAGACAATGCTTGCGATCTGTTGTTGCGGATGAGCGGAAAACCCAGAAAGGTGACTAAAAACGAATTCGAATTTGAATCAAAACAAAGCGAAGACATTTCGTTTCGTTCAAGTACGCTGCAGGCAAAATGTTAGTGCAGCTTAGCTGAGTAAATCAGAGCGCGCACAACTCACCACACACAAGAGCGCAGTAATACAGGGATTATCTACGATATATGTACATATGTTTGCATCTGTGTAATGAAAGACCGTGTGCAGCGACAACGAAATTTGAATTAACTCGAGCTCGAATTGGCGTGTAGTCAAAACAATGTAAGCCCGTTATGTTTGGCTATACACAGCAGAAAAAATGTAAGTTTATCTTAGCTGAGGAAATGTGAGCACAGTTTATTCTGCGTATTTCAACACTGAGCTTTTATCACCGTTTAATGGTTAATCTTCAAGGCTTGGTAGTCAATTGTTTTCACCTCAGTTAGTCACTTAGTTCATCTGAGATGAAACGTGCGTGCGTGTGTGAATATAAATTAAGATCGTGTGTGAAAACCCAGATGATTTCTTAATTGGAATTAAAGTATACTCAACACAAGGTAAGCATTTGAGCAATAAAGTCCAACTTTGACTTGAAGATTTAGCAAAATTTAAAGAAGGTTTAGATATACATCAATTGTGAAGTAAACAGCTTTTCACTCGATCGTGTGGAGAAATACTCAAAGTGAACTTAATTCGAGTGCGAATTGGATAACGCTAAGAACAAAGTGAGCATAAAATAACTCGAGTCTAACCTTGACTCTGAGCTTTGTTTTACCGTTAAACAGTTTATCTCTTAATCTGAACTACACTAGCGACAAAATGTTATTACTATGTAGTTATATGTAGACTTACCCGGCTGCGGTTGTGCTGGATATGATGGTTTCTTCATCCACTCGTAATATTGCGTCTTCGCTGGCGATGTGCGATGGTTGTTGTTGGCCGTGATGCTGTTGTTGTTGTTGTGTGTAGAGGGGCTGTTGTTGTTGTTGTTGCTGACACTGCCCGCTGCACTTAAGTGATGGGTCAAATGGTGCGGCGAAGAGGCAGAGGTGGGCGCACCCGGACTGGATATCTCACTGCCCGACACGGTTATGGGCGGCGATGGCAAACCCTCGGCAATATGTTGTTGTTGCTGCTGCTGCTGTTGCTGCTGCTGTTGTTGTTGTTGCTGCTGCTGCTGTTGCTGGGCATGGACTGCAGCATCATTCGGCTCGTTCAGCTGCGTGGCGCCCGGCGCTGCACCACCCACCGCTGGCGCAGAGCCGCTGCTGCCGGAGCTGGCCGAGCTGCTGGAGCCGCCGCTGGGCAGCCCGCTGTTAATGTGCGCCGCATGATGCTGCTGCATCAGCTGATGCGCCGTCGTCGGCACATTCTGCACAAAGTTCTCGCCAGCCGCCGAACTGGAGGCGGGCGAATGCCATTCGCTGGCGCTGGCCGCCGCCGCCGCCGAGTGGAACATGTGCGGATTGTAGTACATTTGATGGGCGGCTGCATGGTGGGCGGCATGCGGTGAGTCCACATCGCTCAGGAACTGATGATTGGGCGCCGAATGATAGTTGGTTGGCCAGTTCCAGGGCTGGCCCGCGGCCGCAGCCGAGGCGTACGCCAGATTGGCATTGTGCTTTTGCGAATACGGCAGTGTATTGTAATAGTGCGAAACCATTTTGAGGTTAGGGCGCGCTATCAAAACTGTTTATCTTCAAAAATTATATTTATACTGTTTATTTTTAAGCAATTTGCTTGGTTTTTTTTTATGCCTCTGTCTTTAAAGCACTTTTTTTCGCTCTTTGTTTTATGTGCACATTTTGCAAGCGTTTCTACAAATTTCCTTGTGAACTTTTTCGCGCTTCCTTTTTGTGCGCTCTTTTTTTGCACACACACACACGCACACTTTTATGGAGTTTGTATAGGTGTTGGTGCGATCTATCGATAAACACTTAATTGTTAACTTTTTGTTTAGTATTTTTCCAATTTAAAACTCGCGTGAATTTGGTGTCAACTTTTCGCTGCGTTCTCTCAACTGCCGTTCCGTTTGGCCTGTTGCGCCGTTAACCGCAGTCGAATACGTACTGAAAGCAACCAGCGTCGAACACTGATAAAAACAAACCAAAAAAAAAAAGAAGGAATGGAAAGGGAGCCGCGCTAACACCAGCAGCGACTGCCGCCTAGCTAGTCGTCTCGCTCGCACACACGCCAACCAGCTTATGTGGGCACATTTTAACCCTCATTTCCGTTGCGTGCTTGAAATTCAAGATGGCTTGTGTTGTTTTTTTTTTGGCCTGCTCGCTCTCGCTGGCCAACGCCGTCCCGCTTGCGTACGTCATGGCTGGCCGTATGGCTCCGCCCACTTTTGGCCAGGGCTTGGCCAGGTAAACCGGCTGCAAAAGACGACGGTGGGCGTTTGAGCCAAAGTATGTGTAGAAATATAAAAAAATACCCCTTTTTCCTTTACGACTGCTTCGATTTGTACTATAAACTAATATTGCCTTTGGCTATCCCTAATTAAGTAATTCCATGCGAGTGTGCATTATGCAATTAGTGGCCGTAAAATCATGTTTGTAGTGCCATAACTACGGATTTCATTTATTACACTCCATGTACATATCATTCATTGAGCCTTTGCCATTTTGATGTTCAGATTTTTCTGTTTTATGGAGCTAGTTTTCTGGTTTTTCTATGTGTGAGTGTGTGTGTTTGCAGAGCAATTGTTACTTTCCTATAAATATCGCGCTAATTACATCATAAGTGGTATAACGCCTGAGAACAGTTCAAATATTGGCTTTAAATTTAAGTTCAAATTGGTTATAAAACGTCTAAATATTTATAAATCATCTTCAATTGTTGTCATAACGCGATAGGAAACGATATGTTGAAGAAGATAGAGCATATACATATAGGAAGAAGAAGGAATATATATTCAAGGAAAGAACATATATAGGAATAAGAAGAAATATATATAGGAAGAAGAGAGAGCATATATAGGAAGAAGAAAGAAAATATAAATGGAGAAAAAACATTTATGGGAAGCAGAAAAAAATATACAGGAAGAGGAAAGAACATATATAGAAAGAAGAAAGAACATATTTAGGAAAAAGTCAAACAAATTTATAGAACGAATATCGGAAGATGAAATATATCGGAAGATGAAATACCATATACAGGAAGATGAAAGAAAATGTATATCATAAGAAGAAAGAACATATATGGGAAGAAGAAAAAACATATATAGGAAGAAGAATGAACCTATATATCGGAAGATAAAAGGATGTATATAGAAAGAAGAAAGAACATGTATAGCAAGAAGAAAGAACTTATAAGGGAAGAAGGAAGATAAATATTGAAAGACGAATGAAAATTTTTAGGAAAAAGGAAAAACATATATTGGAAGAAAAAAGAACACATATATCGCAAGAAGAAGGAATAAATATAGTCATATAGAACACTTGCGATATCTATAATTGCTGCTTTCATCAAAAATTCCATTTCCGAACGTTTGTTCCTACAGAAACCATGTACTATAGCTGTCCGATATTTGTCCGAAACATAGTTAAGTAAAGAAGCACCAAATATTGATCAAGCTACATAACTTAAAAACAAAACTCAGAAAATTTCTAACATAAGAATTCTCAATTATTGAAAGAATTTCTCTCTTAAGTTGGGAATTTTCTAACGCACAGTTTGGTCAAGATTTCCTTAAGAATAAGTATGTTTTTTTAGGAATCCGTGATCGAATGATCCATTGAACCAAAAGCTAGCTGCACGTACATGAAAAACCAGGTTGACAAATCGAAGCTCAAGGCGAGACGTGGATTTGAACTATGAACCAAATCAAACGACCTTTTTTTAGGGCTTCCAGCCTTGATCTAAGCAAAGGTAATACTCATAAAACTGCAAACCTTTTTGTTGGACCAGAAAAAAAGGCTGCCAAAAAGTAACGGAAAACGCAAACACTTTTCACCTTTGACATATTTATTTTGCATGCAAAAATCGTCAACGATTGAGTAATCCGTTGCGAGTTCCACGAAATTCTCGCAGAGATTAGCTAAAAAGCGCATTCATTGATCGTTCGGTGAGCGCGAATAATTAGAAAATATTAGAGAAATGCATTCAGCTGACAACAAAAGGACAATTTCACGCAGGCAGACCAGGAAAAATTGGCCTCGCACTTAAATTGCACTTTGTTGGACGGCAAATGCTGCTGCTGTTGGTCTGGTCCGGTCTGGTCTGGTCTGGTCTGGTGTTGGCCAAACAAAAAACCCCTTAATGCCCACAAAACAAAAACATTGTAAAACAATTGAAAGGCCACGCACAAAAGTTTTATTGCGGCCCGCGAAACGCGAGCTCGAATCCCGTCGAAAGGACAACAAACAGGACGAGAGGCGAGAGGCTGCGTCATAAAGTTCGCACTACAATTAGCTGGCCGCAGGCCATGTTTTTCCTCCTCCTCCTTTACTTTTTTCGCAAAGCGTCTAGAATTCAAGGGAATTTTCGAATAGGCCAGGTTTTTTTTTCGTCCTCCGCCTCCTCCGCCCGCGCAGGCAAGTCATGTAATAGGCCATAATAATGTTTACCTGGAAGTCATTAGGGGCGCAATCTGCTCGTGCCTCGATCGGGCGACAAGAAACCTTAAACAAAAGCAGAAACCCTTCTAATGCATTTACCAGTTGCTATTATTAATATTATTATTATTATGACTCACCTTCTGTGATCATAAACAAAGCATTAAAAAACCAAGAAGAAAAAAAGAAATATATTCGAAAATGCAATTATGCTAATAAAACCATAAAGAAAGCGCCTCGTAAATCAGCCTCGGCAATTAGATCCAGCGAGAGCAGCCCCAAAGAAATACAAACTCTATATACTAACCGGACACATATATACCTGTGTATACCTGTGTATACCTTTTGGATAGACCCAACTTTGTCGAATGACGCTTCGCTTGATTGGCTTGTCGGGCTTTTTTTCTCGTTTTTTTTCTTTCGTTTTTTTGTCGCTTTGCTTTGCTTGTTGGTTAATTTGTACGTTGAAGAGTTTTATGGCCATGACTTCGCAGCAAAGTGGGCCCAAAAAAACCTAACCACCCCCCCAACCCCTCCCACCCACCTTCTCCCCCCGCGCACCTTAGGCAGCGCAAGTGCATTTTGCGTTGTGCACGCCTTCATGTATGCCGCGATAAACCTTTCGTTATTGTTGTTGTTGTTAATCAAACAAATTAAACAGCGTTTTTTTTCGCTTTGCGGCTACGCAAAAGAAAATAAGCAACAACAAAAATTAAGTAAATAATGTATTTTTGGATTTTGGAAATTTGACGAACTGGATTTCCATATAAAACTGATAGCGATTGCAATCTAGCATGATTCTTCAATTAATCACTTAAGCTATTTAATCTTTAATCGTTAATTGGTAGCATTTGTCAAAAACTTGGCTAAGATACTGTTTTAGCCAACTTAAACAGTTTGTTCTTTAAAGATATATAAATTTTACTGTTTTCCCAGTTTGTCTCGTTAATTTTCTTATAAATATTGCTATTCATGTGAGAAAAATTGCTATAAAAGAAAATAATAAAAATATTTAAAAATTTAACATATCATCAAGCTCGGATCTCAGGATGTAATATGTCATTATAAGAGCTGAGGTAATTATTAGGGCTAAGAAAATGAGAGAAACTGTCGATGAACCGCAATTTCAAGGCTTAAATAAACTCGCCGCCTTTAGGTCCTGTTCGCAGAGCTGATGTTTAAAATCTTTATTTAAGGTTTTGATCAGTTCTTTGGTTTCTCAGATATTTACAAAATTTCAATTAGATAATTCCATTATTAATATACAGTTCGCTAAGCTAATAATCCAAAGTTTTTTTAAAGATTTAAAAAATGTCCATTAAACAATTCCAATTTTTAATATACAGTGCGCAAAGCCGATTGTTAAAATCTTAAGATCAGATTTTACTTCAAACCTGTTTTACTCCCATATTTACAAAATTTCAATTCCAAAAAGCTGAATTTTTAAATTCTTTCGTATATTTTAAAAATTTAAATGAAACAATTTAATTTTTTATATACAGCTTGCAAAGCTGATTTTCCATATCTTAAGCCCAGGTTTTCGTCCATATCTAAGCCTTTTTTTCACATATTTTTCAAAAAATTTTCATAAATGAATTCCAGATTTTAATATAAAGCTTCCCGTTGCTCTGAAAATATTTCAAGCCGTAGATATTTTCATATGCAAGATGCGGGCTATATTTGATTTTTACCCAAAATTTGCAGCTAGCAAATATTGCTAGTTAAATGCAAAGATTGGGACCAAAGTTAAGTGTACTTTGGAGCTAGGATATTTTTCATTTTTAACCAAATCAGGTTTTTCTAAAAGGTCCTTCAGTTCATCTAGTTTTTTGGAAAACAGAATTGTTTCAGGCTTTTTGTTTATGGTTCATTTAATAAAGTAGATCCAAAGTCTGGATTGGAGAACCTTGGTAATTGTGTCTCAGTCAAAGAAGAATATTGTTATTAAAAAGTAAAATTTATAATTTATGGATTTTCTATCTGATATCTGTCGATGCATCACGCCGTTAGCTGCATTAATCAAAAAATGAAAACACATTTGAAATAGATTTCAAGTTTTTGGGGGAATTTTATTCCTAAATTATTAGAAAATTATATAATTACAAAGTATGATTCTACGACAAATTAGTTTAACTGCTCGATCCGTTTAGTTGCTAGCAATTATCGTTTAAAAACTATATAAATATATGCGAACATTCTGTCGAGATAAAAAAAAATCGTATAGTAGATAGACATATTAACCAGCTGTTAAATGTAGCAGGCAGATAGACAGGTTAAAATAGAGAATTCGCTGTGAGTAGTCAAATAAGAATGCGTCTTAAGATCGAAATTAAATACAAGAGGAATTATATAATCGTTAAGATCGTTTTGTTCAGTTGCCCCGAAAACAAAGTGCACAACAATTCACAAAGTTAACAAACAAATAAAATCTATTTTAAAAGGAATCAAAAGAGCCAAAAGCGAACGCAAAAAAAAATGATGGTATCCCGACTAAATTAACAATGTTTC